AAAGAGACTCCTAGGGAAGTACGTTCATACGTGATCAGACAATTAATGAGCGCATATAAAACAAACAAGAAGTTGCACGGAAATAATTTTCGAATGAAGTACCGATCAAAGAAGGATCGAATACAAATCATCTCGATCCTTGCTAGGGATTGGAATAGGAACAGTGGAGAATATGCGTTTCTAAAGGATATCATCACTTCAGAACAATCACTAAAGGTTAATAACACGGTGATTTTTTTTCCATTCTGGACCTCCACGTAAATTTTCGTGGGCGTAAACATTGTTACCAATGGTATTGTTAAAGTTTTTTTTACCCTGAGTATGCCAACCATTAGGAGATGCCAATATGTCATGAGGATCTAATAACAACTTTCTATCACCATCCGATGGATCATTGGTACCGAATGGGAAAACATTGTAAGCAGCATCGGATACCCAGTCAATGAGAGAAACAACTTTCCCGGTATGAGCATCTAGTTGAGCATTATACCAATTATCTTCCATCTCGATCTGGATATCCCAAACGAATCGTAAAGATCGATCGTCCATTTGAATATACTCCTGACTCATTTTCACGTCGGAAAGAGCAAACGGCACATTAGACAGCAAAAGAACATGATGTCCGTCGTCAAATGTACTATGCTCGATGGTTTTGATATCCTCAGGATGCGCTATCTCTTTGTTGATGAAACGTGCGAAAGATTCTAGAGCTTTTTCGGGTGAGATGATTTTTTCCGATTTCATTTTTATCATTATAATATAATTCCCCACGCACGTGACGAAGATGCTTAGAGGTACCGAATACATATTGTGAATCGTCGAAGACGTTTCCAAGATTAGGTTTCTCATCGGGACGTAAATTCTGTTCACGGATAGTAGGATTCGGGACATAAAACGAATCACCGTAAGATATGACCCTGCCAAACTGATCAACATTAACATTTAAATCACCATTGGAAACGAACAAACCATTGACGATCTGTTTAAAATAAATGTGGGTCACGCCATTATGATCCGATTTGTAGCTATCCTTGATAACGAAATCAGCGGTTGGATGTAATTTTGTTGAAACAAATTTTATTGCTATTTCCAAAGGGTCTTCAGTGCTAAAGTCCGACAGAGTACCTTCGTTGATTATCGAAGGGGCTTCATATTTGCGGTGGTGAAGTTTAGGTCCAAAGTTTCTTCGATGACCAGATAATGGGTTATTCGAAGTGACAAAAGAAGAAAGAGTCAACAGGATCAGAGCCAAAAACGAAAGCACTGTCCGTCTCATGATTTTTAGTATGCTATTTGTTTATGGATCGCACGTATTTACAATGAATATCTTAAATTTCGGGTCATTCACAAGTCGAATTCGTCGAGGTTCGGAACAAACCAATTATTAAAGCTCCAAAGAAAAAGGTAGAATTAATCTCAAAGAAAAGAAAAATCAAAAACGTCAACTTGTATATATTTATAAACACGAATCATTGCGAGTACTGTACAAGGACAAATAGAGCACCCTTCGGATATCTCTTATCAAGTATAGTTCTTATAGACAAGCGCAAAAGGAACAGTAAACCTTACACATCTTTTCCAAACCAAGAACTATTCATACGTGAATAGATTAAGTATAGGGAGTTTTTCTTATCATGTACCATGATTACACAAATTGTTTGAACCCACTTTTGTAACTTACGCTTTTCGATAAAATTGTTATTTAAATGAATTTTTCTTGTGTACTGAGTTGTTAAAACCGGTTTAACAGATCATTTTTACTGCGTCCAGTAACTGTTGACCATACCATAAGATACTGTATGTATGGATGCTTGTCATTTAAAGACTAGCCGAAATACAGTACAGTGATTTTTTGCAAAATCGGCGAAATTGGCTTAACCAATAGATTTATGCAATGTTAACAATACCCGATCACGCGATAGAGATTGACACGCAATTACGTATGAAAATCGCGAACAATAATTAAACAATAAATTTTCATTTTTTACATAATAACTTGACATATGGTTATACGATGATCTATTAAAATATAATCTAGTTCTGTTACATACAATATTTTAAAATTTTAACTCAATAAGTATAAATTCAAATTGCATAAAACTTTAATCAATATTTAAATACAGTATATTAATTAATGAACTAGTATTAAAAGATAATTTTTAATTTTAACAAATAGTTGATGAAAACTTTATAAATAAGAATTGGTTGTAAAAATATAAAAATTAATTAGGAATTAAAATATAAAAAATTTAATTTTTTGATAAATTTTTTTATTAAGGTATATTTAATATTACTAAAAATATTCTTGTAATATTTAAACTTTCTTTTAATATCAATATCTAAAGTAGAAAAAAATATATAATTAATATTATCTTTACTAAATTTGATGTAAAATAACTAATTTATTTACTAATTAATATTTTTGTTTAGTAAAAAATTTTTTCTTGAAATCTTTATAATCATTGGCAATTAATAAAACATTAAGTTTATTAATTGAAAAAAATTTAACAAGTTCAAATTTATTTACATAATTCAAGTTAAAAAATTACACAAAAAATTATATAGTAATTCTCTTTCAAAACTCTCTCCTGATCATGTCCATTTTGTTAAAATTTTTCCTTTTATGATAATTTTAAACAAGAAAAAATGTTTTACACTCTTTACCGCAAGTGAGTCCCAGCTCAAGAACTTAAGAACCTTTAAGACAACTAATGCAGTAGGATGGAATCTCTGGTTGAAGTCTACTCAAGTTTGGGAGTCTTGCTTATTCTTCGATTACATAAGAAAAGGCCTATAACAATTCTCTGCTCTTTTGTTCTCTTGCACTCCTCCTTCTTTCTATTATATCATAAAACTATTCATATCAATACCATTATATTCACTAAACCAAATACCTTCCAAAAAATATATACAAACAATATTGTTGGATCTATTATTTGTTTTAACACAATCTTTATATACAACCTTATCATGATGTTACTTACTGCACCATTCCAAAATCTCTCAAAATTTTTTTTCAAAAACCAAAATCAGTTTACCCTTCCAGATAATTGTCACTCTCCAATCATCCAATCAGATTTCATCAAAACAATAAAGAAAAAACCAAATCTGTTTAAATCAGTTTTTCAACACTACCACAACAACAACAACTATCACTACAACAAATAATATCAACTATACTTTACTATCCATATTAATAAAGGTCACGTCTCTAATACCAGCACTGGTGCAAGGGCCAGACTATTGGTCACCTTTTAGATATTCTTTTTGTTTATATAGATTTTATAGTTTAAATGACTTAGTTTTAGTTGCAATAGCTATAGTTGTTATTTTCTTTTTATCTATTTTATATTCAAAAAATTATAAGATTTTACAAATTTTGTCAAATAGGTAGGCATAGCCACTACTCTACTATTTGATATTTTAATATTGCTTTTAAAATTTTTTACAATATTAGTTAGATAGTGATCAAGTAAGCAAGCTAGTATTTAACTTGTTATATGCAATATGCATCCAAGAGATGTTGTTTCTTTCTCAATTTATATATAATTAGTATATGATAATGAATAAAAAAATAATGTTTACCTGTTAGGAAAAACCTCTCCAAAAAAAAAAAAAAAAATTATATAGTGTTATATATTATTTTTATCTCAAGAGAAAAATAAAGATAAAGAACTAGTAATAAGAAAATACTTTAGATAGATGGAACCAATATAATATACTAAAGTTTTTAAAGACATACAAATTAGTACAATTCTAAGGTATATGAGATTAAATAAAAAAAACAATAGTAATTTGTTTGTAAAGATCAAGATATTTATTCAATAAAATATAAGTTCAAGTCTACTAATTCATAGATAAAATTGATGACTTTATATATTGTTATACTTGATTTTCGCCCAAGATCAGCACTATTCCTTGCCTGATTTTTACTAGCATTTACCCTTAAAATGTTACCCATTCTAGAATAATTCTTGTATTACTATCCTTGTTATTGTTTAG